GTATTGTAATGTTCTCAAGAACCAGACGTTTTGATCTCAGTTTGTCCATTTATTCCGTAACACAGGCAAATGGGCCGTTAACTCCGGGGAGAGTGCTCTCGTACAACACCTCACTTCAGCCCCGTACAGTTACACAACAACATCTACAACTGTTATTGACAAAATGAGTCAAAACCATTTCCTGTTTATTTTGCAGATGTATTTGCATGATTAGTGGGGGGACTTTAAAAAAAAGAGACAGAGAGAGAGAAAAGGATTGGTAGCGTATCCTAATATTTTCCATTGAAAAGAAGAGGAAAAGCTTGAAAAACTTGACAATAAAAAAGATGGGAGGGGACTGACAGGAAGAGAGATCACACAGAAGAATGTAAAATTAACATTGGGGAGTTGTATCAGATCCTTGTTTTCCTCTTTGTGTGCCTCTGTGACAGCTCGGCACAGTCCTCCTCAATAAAAGCCTTTTTGTCTGCTGATTTCTTGGAAGAACAGATTGTTAGAAACTCTGTCACATGACCCCCTCACTGGAGTCCTGCGTGCATGTACAAACACACAGTCACACCATATGTCTATGCAACTCACACAATTTCACCCACACACATTATGTGCACTGCTGCAATGTTATTAGTCACTACATTCTTTCTTACAAAGGCTCATTCCAGAGGAAAATATTTCCTGATGGACTACAGAAACATCTGGAGAGTATAATCAACGCACTCATCACACTCTGCTGGCAAGAGTATGGACCCTTATCGTAAGATTTTTCTGTCCAGTGTTTCCAGTACACATTCAAAACATCTTTGGCACACATTCAAACTGTGTGACCCAAAGGCACAGAGCCATACTGAACAGAGGATATTGGAGGGTGGAAAAGTACAAAGGATCAAAACCCCCAAATAGTGCACCCTTTTATTCTCTTGGTGTAAATATTGAAAGAAAAAGAAATTCCTTTGCCTTTTTAAAATTAGGGTTACACTGAATGTCTAGTTATTATTATTTTTTCTATTGCATGCATGCTGTGGTTTACTCATTCACTTTGCTAGTGAAAAGTTGTTAGTTTGAGTCAAGCCAGAGACACAAATTCCAGCTAGGAGTACACAAGCTAGTATAATGACTGTTACAAGTCTGGATAGAGGGAGGACTGCATGAAGGAGGGCATCTGGGGTAAAAACACTGCCAAGTCAAACATGTGGGGCTACCCGCTGTGATGTCCCCTTCTAACAAGGGAGCAGCTGAAAGTAGCTTAAAAAAAGTTTAAATAATACAGGTTTTGCATATGTTATTAATAAGATCTGTATATACTTATGAATGAACACAATACCTTGTCAGTCTTACAACATGTTGAAATAAGATTCTGATCTTCTGAAATCCATCACTGAAGTAGTTCTGTATTTTGAATTTTGCATTTATGAGAAGACAGAGTGTTTCTCCCAATGTCACCATTGTTTTTGGAATCTTTCATCTTTATAAGGAGCATTTGCACTGTGGCTACTCAGCAGCTCAACCTGAAACACAATGAAGGATTTCTATACAGCCATGTGAATCTTTACATAAAAGCACACCTAAATCACTGACTGACTTTTCAGACAGATAACACTTTATGAGGGCATCCGTACTAGTTGTAAGTAATACCGCCCTTATAGAAATATGCATTCAGGACCAAAGGGGGTCTGACTCTCTCTCTCTAAAACATGTGCAGATAGACTGATGTGTGATAATATCTGTCTTGTACTGATGTTATTGTACTGAGCTACCAAGTGTTTCTTGGTAAGAGTGAACATTTGATTTTGGATCCTTACTGGATGCATGACCTGGCAGGAATTTAAACACCCAACTAGTTGTTTGAAAGGCTCTAATGTTGCCACACAATTGCCTCACATTTCTTAATAGTTTCTTCACAAAGCAAGAGTTTCATTTAATTTTTTAAACTGGTGTGGACCAACAGCTCTCTAGGTTTTCTCATGGTATTTCAAAGTTGTTGTTTTTTCGGTGGCTGATGAACTGACTATTTCATTTTTAGTGAAGCCACAGTGACAGGACTCATTCAAACACTAAAAAAAGGATGTTACTCGAGTGATGAACCATTACTTACGTCATTAAACCACATGTAAAAATCCCCTAAAAAATTATGTTTACTGAATAAAGAACCAAAAAACTTCCCCCTAAGCAAGAATGTTAATAAGAATAAGAATAAATGTAGGTTGCACTTATAAATAAACATTTTTGTGTATGTTGTTCATTCATGTCTCTAAGGTTTCAAATATGGCCCAGAGGTCAGAACCATCTGCCCATAACCCTCCTACTAGAGGGTCCACACCTGGGTTCTGCGTTGCCCTTACCTGCCTGTCTCTTTAAGAAAAGTCATATGATGGTCACATGACCCGGAAGAATACCGAAGTCATTCAGCGTGGTTGTGTTTACAGGCGTGTTGTTTACTTGGCGCCTGCAGGTTTGCGCTGTAAATAAACCGTTAATTTACGATAATTAATCCTTTAGACGTTTATATTATCATTCAAAGAATAGTAACGTAACCTGCTTTCTTTTGTATAGCAGCCACAGCTCTCTGCTATCAATGTCGAGGTAGGTTTATGTGAAGGATTTAGGTCTACTCGAAATAGACGGATTGCTTTGCTCTCAGTAAAAGAACTTACACGGAAATAAATCACCGATAGAATTCTAACATTATTTTAATGGTGTGCGGCGACACTAGCAGGCTTAAAATCCGACTCAAATCTCGTTTGTCATGTATTAGCATCTCTTCGTGTTTCGCACAGGTGTGTTACAGATGTTTTAAAAATCTCAAGTAAGCAAAAAAAACATTACTGCCGTACGTTTTTAACGTTTCCCGATTTGCATGTATCCTCTCATTTTGAAATTGCCCTCATTTTCATTGACTTTTGCTTTATAACAATGACACGGTATGACATGTGTCTTCAGTTACATTGAAGCAGGTTTTGATAACGTTTTATTTCTGCCTCTTTTACCCTCAGGAGTAAGTAAAAACATTTTAGATATATTGATCATGAAGCAGGTTAGTGAGGCTGTGAATGTCCCTGCATGCTTCATATCAAACCATGAAGGCTTTCTTGGAAGCATCAAAAACTTCATTGAGGATTTTGTGGTGACTGAAATAGATATCTATGGACAGCATGTTAACACAGCAGCAGCCACACAGACACCGGGCTGTGCCTCTTCAGTTGGAAATGACAGAACCAATGCAGAATATAAAGAGGACAGTCATTCTTCAGCCTCACAGGATGCTGATGTCCCTCTGGATTGGGGGGTACACGACCCACTCCCTAGTCTAGGGAGTTTAGATTTAGGTGTGATTTTAGGTCAGTCGGTCAGTGAGGAGCTCGAGCAGTTTGTGTTAACTCTCAGAGATAAAAATCCACCTGAGCTGGAGCTCTCCCTTGGTTCCTTTGCTGACAAACACCAGAGAGCCAGTGTCCACCGAGCTGTCAGACACCGCTTCCCTTTTCTCATGACTGTCACCATTCAGCCTGAGATCAGGGTGAGGGAGGACCCAGACTACAGAGAGCTCTCCCAGCTTGTTAAGGAGGATGAGGCTGAGGACTTTTTCAGATTTATAGATGCCAAAGTGAGAGGTTCGTCCTATACGTTTGGACCTGATGACAATAAGGAGCACAGGACGGCAGTCCATCACTTCCTGAATCGAAGGTTCGGGAAACTGGTGGAGACTAAAAGCTTCAATGACCAGGGGAGGACATCGATCTCAGTTAGGCTGAGGGAGCGAGGGAGGCCAAAGAAGCGAACAGCAGAGGAACGTAAAGATGATGAAGTTTACACTGGTAAGGCATAGCATTGCATGTTATTGATCATTTATAAAATGTAAAAAACAGGAGAAAACCCCAAGGTTAATGCTTTAGATCAAATTACCTAGTAAACAAATAAATAATATAGAAAAAGCTTAAGAAGAATGAAGAATTTTAAATATAAATAAAATAATTATGGCAGCTTTATTATCACAGTAATTGTGATTTGAATCGGTCAAAGCAGGAGAAAAAGACAGGAAAACTCTTAGTGAGAAGGGCAGGATGACACAGGTTAAGAAAATGAAAATCAAAGATGGTTTTAAAAAATCAGATTTCCCATAGGGAACATTTTCAAATGTGATAAAAATATAGATGTTTTTTGCGTGTTTTTCCAGCATTCACTCTGTGTAAGGAAAACCTTGAGACTCTGGAGGCCATCAGCTACATGGCAGCAGCTCTCGGGGTCCTGCCATCTGATTTCACCTATGCTGGGATCAAGGATAAGAGAGCAATCACCTACCAGTCCATGGTGGTAAAGAAGGTCTCACCTCAACGGTACTGCTGTGTTTCTTTCATGCATTTTGAGTATATATTTATATATATATATTTTTTCTTTTTCTTATTTACAAATCATGGGATAAAAGCACCAAAAGTTGTGTTATGTTAGAGTTCTTCTTGAAATACTATTTATATATTTTGCATTTTGTGTGACTAGGTTGAAAGAGAAGAATGCAGAGTTTCAGAACAGAGGGATCCGCGTGTTTCAGGTGCGTTCTGTCAGCGAGCCTCTCCGGCTTGGACGACTGCAGGGGAATCACTTCGACCTGGTTGTCCGGGACCTGAGACCACACGGTGCCGGTGACACGCACTCCTCTGGTGGAGACGTGCACACACGGCTGGCAGCACTGGTGAAAGAAGCAGTGGAGAATGTCAAGGTATATTTTGAGTTTTAGGTTTTCTGCAATCCTGTGGTAAAAGCATATGCCAGGAACCAGGCTTTCTTTAATGTTTTATTAAAAAAACTTTTTTTTTATTGGATATTGACAAGCTTAAAAAGGCACCTAACTTAAATAGTGAACCAGTGTTGTGTCTGCACTTGCACAACTTGGCATAGAATACATTTTGAATTGTATACAAAAACTCTTCATTTGTTAAAGTTTATTTATTTGATTCTAATAATGCAAAGATATCACAGTTTGACCAACAAGGTGATTCTCAAAGAGCTATTAGCTAAAAACATGGTATACCTCAGTGTAGTCTTCCAAAATCTGAGGAAAGTGAACAAATAGAGGAAAAAAGAAGAAGTGGTAATCCTAAAAAAAACCCTCACTGCAGCAGAAAAACAGAATCTGAACGTCATGTCCTTTAAAAATAAGAGGGGCAAAAATCTGGCAAAGGCCTGACACAGTAGCTGAGAGATTCATCTGGCCCTTCATCTGCTATTCACTGAAGCCTCATCAGAAAAGGTCTCAGTGGAAGGGTGGCTGTCAAGAAGCCACAGCTGAAATTAGTCCTCGACTAATCATGTCTTTCCTGATAGAGTTTTAAAATATGTCTGCTCATTAGCAAGTGGTTTTGTTGGTCCAGAATGTCTGCTTCATACAAGCTACATAGCCACAACCACACATTGACCTCTGATGTTTTTCACTGTAGGCCAGAGGGTTTGTCAACTACTATGGACCACAGAGGTTTGGGAGTGGACAGAGCGTTCAGTCTGATCGAGTAGGACTAGCTCTACTGAAAGAGGATATGGTGAGCGTTTGAGACATTCGCTATGTATTCAAGATGATAATACTGTTGGTTACGGTCATATAAAGCTAATCCACGACCGGCATTGCTCAGTGAAAACAGCACATTGTTGAGTTACTGTATGTAATGTGTGTGTCAGGTGAGTGCTGTACGTCTCTTCTTCACTCCAGAGGAAGGCGATGATCCTCAGAGTCATGCAAAGAGACACTTCCTCCAAACAGGTTTGTTTTAGTTTTATGGGAGCTTTTTCTTCCTTCAGAAATTTCTAAACTGAGAACTATTCTTTGCTGAATCTGAGGTTTTTTTGCAGAACAGTGTGATGATCTGTTCCTCTATTTATTTTTGAAAGTTGGCTGAAATTCATCATCCATGTTTGGCTAAAACCTTATGATTCTGTAATGTCAGCATCTGCTGTTCTAGTGAATTCATGACACATTTCATAAACCAAGTTTTGGTTTATGAAATGTGACTAAATTAACGTCATGCAAATGCTTTTTTTAGAATTTGCAATTTCAATATGTTTTGTCGTTTTATTTTTCTGTCTTTCACCCCTCTCCACTCCAGATAATGCTAAGGAGTCCTTAGCTTTGATGCCATTGTCCAAGCCCAGGGAGCGGTTGATGCTGCGGGCTCTGAACCGCTATGGTACAGGTCCTGATGGATGTGACCAAGCCTGGCTCAGCCTGCCACACAGCATGAGGATTTTCTACCCTCACGCTTACTGTAGCAGGTCAGCTGCAAGGAGAATCTACCCATCCATCCATTATCTTAACTGCTTCTCCTGTTCAGGGTTGCGGGGGAGTTGAAGCCTGTCTCATCTGTCATAGGGCACAAGGCGGGGCACGTCTTTGACTATTTTTTATGATATTAAATAAAAATCTTTGAAAGTAACACATAAACAAGTTTGACAGATAGCGATATGTAAAAAAAAAAAAAGTCGTGCATTTATTAAAGCTGGTTTCCATTATAGGTGAGGGAGATAAATTGGCCTTAGGTGTAGCCCAAATAAGTGGTTTCTTTTATTTATTAGGAAATTAAAATAAATGTTAAATAAAAGCCAAACAGTATTTTTAATAACACGCCACCCCAGTGCTTTAGATCTTTAATTTGAAAAATTATGTCGATGTTCTTGTGGTTGTCAGAGTTTGGAACGAGGCGGCGGCACACAGGCTAACTACAATGGGTCATATTGTCCGAAGAGGTGACCTGGTGTGGTTACGACAAGGTCAAAACAAAATGGAAGATGCTAGAGAAACCAGCATGGCTCAGGTAAGAAGGCAGATAAAACAGGAAAAGGAGATCTTTTAAAAGGGATAACTGATTAAAAAGATAGCTCAGGAGTAATTAGGTTAGCTTTGTGTTATAATCAGAGCAAACACTTTTCCAGGCTTTGTGACTTTGTTGCATCTGTGACAGACATCACAGAAGTACAGGAACCAGCTTGTTGACTTCATCGTGGACCTAAATGCTAGAATTGTAGTTCCCGCGTTCGTTTTCACACATTTACCAGATCCTTGAATTTTTCTATCTTAAACTTGGTACAGTCATGTGTGCTGCGTCCTGCATGCTACCCAGGCAGTGCCCACCGCTTAAACCACACAGTATTTCCAGTACAAGCACATCCAAAGCTCAGTGTTTCCTCCTGTGTGTTCACATGTTCATGCAAGCATGAGCTTAAGTTTTGTCTTATTTTTCAAAGTAAAGTTTGCACAGGCCAAACACCAAAGGAGGGGATAAAGGAGGAGTGGCATTTAAGAATCCAAGCTGGAGAAATGAAAGCATAATCTTGGCCTGAAACTGCAAAGCTGGGGTTAGAATGGGGGGTGAGAACAACACGAAGTATATCAGCAAACAGTGCGTTAAAAATTTTTTATCAATTAATTATTTATTGTTTCTATTTGTTTCCTTTTAGTGAGGTAAACTACCCTTTTTAGTGTGCATGAAAGGACAGAATCGAGGTGAAAACTGTGGTTACTTCCTTTTTTTTCTGCTTGTTGAGGCTGTGATTTACAACAGTAACTTTGTTATGGTTTCACTTACTGTACTTTTGTTGCTGCTGCAGTCCAGAAATACCTCCTGGTAATTTCAACAGTAAATAGGATTATTTAGTGACACATTTTTTTGTGCACTTTTGGTCACAGGACACATTTTCGGTGTGAGGACACGTTGTTACTTTTTTCAAACACCTTGTCAGTGCCACTAACTTCTTGTTTGTGCCTTCTTCTAGATCCATGTGGTGACAGATAAAGAGGAGCAAGACGGTATCTATAAACTAGAACAAGTAGGGAGTGTTTGGAGCTATTTGTGTCTCTGCCAAATGCTGTTTTTTGTACACTACAGTAACACTGCAGTTGCTACTTGTTATATTATTGTTCTGCCAGGTTGTGTTACCGATGCCAGGAAACACTGTGAAGTATCCAGAAAATGCCATGGGAACTTGGTACCGAGAGAGGCTGGTCAGAGATGGACTGGAAGATTGCCGCTTCAGAGTCAGCAGCCTCAAACTGAACCTGCCTGGCTGCTACCGCCCCCTGCTGGCAGTGCCGCACAACCTCAGGTATCAGCTGCAGAGAGCAGCCAGCAGAGAGGGTGGAAGAACGATGGCAGGTTCGGAGTCGCTCACTCTCACGTTAAACGTCGACTTGGACTCCTCGTGCTATGCTACCATCTGCCTCAGAGAGATCATGAAGTGTGACCCCTGAAGGTTAAAGGAGGACATAGCTGTTGTATTTGTTTGAAGGAGAAGAAAACAGCTTTTCTACAATACTTTGTACTTTCATTGACCGTTATTATGTTACTAGTAGTCTTTTAGTTTGTTGTTGAAGACCGTAAGTATAAAGAAAAATCATATTGTGCACTTCAAAAAGCATAATGAAAGGAGGCCACTGCCAAATGTGAACAAATGTATATGTAAAAGAATTCATGCAGTATGTTTCTCGTGCCATAAATAAATCCTGTAAAACAACAAAGTTTCTGATTTTTTTTTAAAAAAATTCTGTATTTTCATTCAGAATGTTTAAGTTTGAAATCTTAAAAACACAATTTGAGTGGTTCAACTCCACACTCTCCATCTTAAAGATAATAAAGCATTGACCTAAAATTTCAGAAATTAACTGCAATCTTAACTAAGTCCACTTAAAATGTGCATGTGATTTTTTTTTTAATTTAAAAAAGAGAGACCAATAACCTTTGACCTTCACAAAGGCTTTGTTCACACTGCAGGCGAAGGCGCATCAAATCCAACTTTTTTGATCTTATGCAACCCATATCCGATCATGGTATGACAGTTTGAACAGCACAAATCCGATATTTTCAAATCCAATCTGGGTCACTTTCGTATATGGTACGTATCTGATGTTTTAGAAAGCGACTGCGGTTTGAACGGTCATGTTGCATTAAATCCGTCTTTTACGTCACCGACACAAGACAGACGGCAATTAGCGCCGGAGAAGGGCACAAGAAGACATCGTGAATGCTTCCTGGCCATCCAGTGAAACTGTTGGGAAGACAACGTTGGAGAAACATGAACATTTTATTTGTACTGTATAATCTGCAGATTCTGACAGAAATCTGCAACTATCCTTTGAAGCACCGCTCCTCTCTAAAACAGCAATAAGGATAATTATTAGGCCATATGTAAATAACAATATAACTTAAAGCAAAATTGGGAAACGTAAAGTCCGTAGATTAAGGGCCATCAGTCAAACAATACGTTTGGTCTGGGTCTAAACAGAGCACGTTGTATGTGACGTCTTCTTTTGCGCATGCGGGGCCGCTTTGAGGGTTCACACTAGAGCGGATGTGATTAAAAAATTGGAATTGAGCATTAAGACCTGCAGTTTGAACGTAGCCAAAGAGGTTCCAGAGCCTCTGTTGTGCTGTTGGGAGCATTTTGCTGGCATGATTGGAGTCTGCTTTTTCCCTTCTCCCCAGTTGTCGTTTTAAAGTTGTTTTGCAGGTGGACTCCATCTCCCTGTTCTCTTCTTATCCCGGCTTATGTAGCATTTAGATTACACAACTGCCATTCTGATTGCTCAGCAAGGTATATCAATATGTGCTATCACAAGAATATTTAAAGTGTCTCCCAGCATAGTCTCCAACATTGAGTGAGGAGAGCAGGACAGGGTCATTGAAAAGCATTAACCCACTGCCAGAGCCCTGAAAATGACCTCCAGTGTACCTGTCAGAAACGGACTCCAATAGTATGAGGTGAGGTGGCAACATCTGGCAGAGTTACCTGTGCTCACAGCTCAGCACCATACAGATCAACTGACTTTCACCAAAGAACACTGGGACTGGCAGGTCTGCCACTGATGCCCTATTCTCTTCACAGATAAGATCAAGTTCACACTGAGCGCATGTAACAGTCCTGAAAGAGTCTGGAGACATTGTGGTAAATGTTTTGCTGCTTGCAAGATCATCCAGCATGACCAGTTAGGCAATGGGTCACTGATGGTCTGGTGAAGAATATTCTTCGAGCAACACGCAGATCTCCACATCCATGTTAGACCTTATGCTAGTGACATGGGGTTGGCAATACTCTGCACCAGAAAGAGACGCTCATGGATAACTGATGTATTGATGCTAATGAACCACCGTCACATTTGGTAAACCTGAATCCAGCTGAGGCAAATTGGGCCACAGATGCTTACGGATGCACTCATCCAGGTCTGAAAGGTGATTCCCCAGGACACCATCCACTGTCTCATCAGAGGCATGCCTAAACATGATCTCACGCTGCCAATAGTGACAAGCACACTAGCAATAAGCAAGAGTTGAGGAAGGATAAGGAACGAGCACTGATCTGTGGCCACCACCTGTGAAACCATTTCCTTTCTGGGGCTTATCTTGTTGCTTCTCCACCTGTTATCACTTTGATGAAATGGATTTGCAAAGGTTTATGCTTCCTAACTAGAAAGATTTAAATTTAACAGACTTTATGTTATGTCACTGTGATTATCAAGCGTTACCTTATTTCTTATTTATTTTTTAAAGAAGTACAAATAAATAAATCTTTCATGGGGGTTTGAAATGTATTCTTCCAAATTATCTAGATGCTTTAAAAAATTGATTAAATCACAGTAAGTGATATCCTCTCCTAGGCTAGCCTTGATGGGCAGCTGGGGCTCAGGAGGCTCAGGGGTTTTTTATACCAGTCAAAAGATTTATGGTTCAATCTCCAGCTCCTACCCAAGCATGTCCATGCCCAAGCATCCTTGGTGATGAATGCTGATAGATTCATCATAATGTGAGTGTGTGAATGTTATATAATGTGCTTAGGCATAGAATAAAAAGTGCGTAGTTGGGTGAATCAGACTTGCACTAAAAAGCACTTTGACCGCTCAGTTAAAAAGTGCTCTATTAATACCAGTCCTTTTAGATTGTTCTCTTATTTATAGACTGACAAGGCAATGTGTTGGAATAATGCAGCTATCCATTTTTTCACCATTGGATTTAATCTGCATATGGCTTGTTTCCTATTAACTCTGGAGAACCCATGGGGTCAAATTTGACCCCATGGTTTCCCTAGAAAACCAATGGGGTCGGCCATTGGTTCTCCAGGGTTAAGATACTCATATTTCCATTTGGAGCACTGGCATGGATTTATTACACTGTCAAACAGATACCACCAGATGGCGAAAACACACCATATTAGTCAAGCAAACGTCACAGGTACTCCTAGTGGTGTAGTGTCACACAGTAAAGTGGTTTAAACTACTTTGTAGAGTATGGACTCCTTAAGTGTTCACCAGTTTACTATTTTCCAAACTGGTATTATGCTCATCATCTTATCTGAGAGAACAGCAGCTGCCCCACATAGCTGAAAGGTTAATGATAATGTTTAGGATTTCAGTGCACTCCTTTTCTGTGACTGAATCCAGCCCTCCAGTTCACATGATCCCCTCTCGTTTAAACATAGAGCGGTGGACCAGTGAGAGAGCCATTTTAAGAACCAATAAAAAGCATAATGAAGGATAAAACTCGGGTGTAATTACGTTGCTAAGGGGCAGCTTTCGATCTGGATTAAAACGGAGCCAGCTTTGCCTCATGTGACTAATTTATGGAATTTTGATGAGAATGTTTACAGACACCAGCATATGAAACCAATCTCATGAATAACTCATGCTGGCCATACCTCTGAGCTATTCTTAATAGCTATCACTGTAAGTAATATGAAAAGCGACTGCTTGTATGGGTGTTGTTGTTAAAGGTGGGTTCTGACATGCAGGCTGTCATCAAACCACTGCACTGCTTGATAAAATATCTGCCTGTAAGCTAAACTGTCTGGTAAAGAAATACATCAGCACTAATGAGTTTCTTCACTTGTTGAAGATTTTTGTGGCAAACTTGCATGCTTGCACAGCGCACAGACTACATCCTACAGTACTGAACATTCTGTTAAATGCCACAGGTGTACTCTGGATATCAAATGTTTTTAGGTCACTGTTATATATTGATATTTTGTCATTTTTAGTCTTAAACCAAGACTCTTAAACAAAGAGTCTTATCAGTGGCTAAACCTTAAGATCTACCCATCCAATCCATCTTCCACCAATCAAAATCCAAAGAGCAAAATAACTAAAATAACCATCTCAAAACTACTAAACTAATGATATAAGCTTAAACGTTTAATTTTCCATTGATCCAACAAGGTGCCGGAAACATTCCTCAGAGATTTTGCTCCACATTGACACAAACAGTTGTGGAAGATTTGTGGGCTACGCATCCATTATGGGAATCTCCCATTCCACCACATCCCATAGGTGTTCTCTTGGATTGAGATCTGGGAGACCTTAGAGGTCATTTGACTCCCATGAACTCACTGTCATGTTTAAAGAGCCAATCTGAGATGAGCTTTGCTATCCTGCTAGAAGCAACCATTAGAAGATACACTGTGGTCATAAAGAAGTGGACATGGTCTTTTCTGACCCAACCATCCTAATGTGGCAGCAGAAATTAAGATTCATCTGATTGTTTTTCCAGTTTTCTACTGTTTAATTCAACTGTAGCCTTAGTTTCTTGTTTGTAGATACCAGGAGTGGCACCCGGTGTGGTCTGCTGCTGTAGCCTATCTGCTCCAAGGTGTGACCTTACACTGTTCTGCATACCTTGGTTGTAATCGGTATGGAAGGTGTGGCCATTCTCCTCTGACATCAACCATTTTCACCCAGAGAACTGCAGCTCATTGGAAATTTTGCCTTTTTGAGACCATTTGCTGTAATCCTAGACACGGTTGTGTGGGAAAATCCCAGTAGATGACCAGTTTCTGAAATGCTTAGTCTGCCTGGCACCGACAAGCACACCGCAAAGTCTTGACCATGTCTACATGCCTAAATCCACTGCTGTGTTGCTTTGGTGTGATTGGCTAATTGCATATTTGCATTAGCATGCTGTCTTAATTTAAAATGAATATAATATTTTATTATACCAGAGATTTGGTTGCTTTTAATATTTTGAGCGTCAGAAGTATCATTGCTCACAGTAATAAACTGTTTTTACATTGAGTACTTTGAAATGTTTTGCTTTACACTAACATTTAGCTCACTTGCAGTTTAAAACCAGTGCCGAGTAGTATCACTCTACATTATAGGCAAAGAGTGACTGACACACGGGATGAGTGACTTCTCCTCACTCTCGGGCTAATTCGCAATCCAGCCGGCTGTGGAGAAATGTTGACCCACTTCAGCAGCAAAGATGACAAATTTACTGCACATCTCACTAGCTGAAAGGCCTGAGAATGACAAGGAAGTTATGAGAGACATTTAGCACTGATATGGTCTGACGTTTTCCTCCTCACAAAGAGAGATGGAGGAAAGGCTGTGAAAGACACCATCAAATGAGGAAGCACTGTATATCACTCTTAATTTTCCTAGTTTTTCATTACCTGGTGAAATTTGGTTGTTTCTTACTCAGTCGTCAATAATATATGTTTATGCCATTTCTGGTAGTGGTTTGGAAGCTCCTGTAGTTACTGAGGAGGAGGAAGACTTATATGACAAAAGGAAGGAATGCTGGATGAACAATGGAAGAAGTAAGGAAAGCAAGCAGGCAAAATCACTTAGCAATCTAATGCAAAACAATGAAATGCTATATATGACTAATGGTGAAATTAAGGGCAATTTTT